TATCAAAGGGATAAATACCAGGGAGGGAGAGGAATTATTTCAGCTCAGTGCTAATGTGGACACGAGAACGAATGGATATAAACTGGCCGTGGGGAAATTTAGGCTTGAAATTAGACGAAGGTTTCTAACCGTCAGAGGGGTGAAATTTTGGAACAGCCTTCCGAAGGAAACGGTGGGGGCGAAAGACCTCTCTGGCTTCAAGATTAGGCTAGATAAGTTTATGGAGGGAATGGTTTGATGGGATTACGTGATTCTAATCAATTAGGCAATAACGGCCATCGCTGATAAAATGAGGGTCTGGCTAGAGAATCTTGCCTGTATGCTCGGGGTTCTGCTGATCGCCATATTTGGGGTCGGGAAGGAATTTTCCTCCAGGGTAGATTGGCAGTGGCCCTGGAGGTTTTTCGCCTTCCTCCGCAGCATAGGGCAGGGGTCCCAAGCTGGAAGATTCTCTGCAACTTGAAGTCTTTAGATCACGATCTGGAGACTTCAACAGCAGAGTTAAGGGAAAGTGGGGGGGTCAGCTTTTGTGGCCTGCATCATGCGGGGGGTCAGACTAGATGACCATATTGGTCCCTTCTGACCTTAAAGTCTATGAGTCTATGAGTCTATGAGTTATGTATCTAGATGCACATTTCCACACTTAAACCTGTTAAGTAGATGTGTATTAAGCAGGGCCGGCTCCAGCTTTTTTGCCGCCCCAAGCGGCGAAGCCGGGGGGGGGAAAAAAAAGATAAAGCCGTGATCGGCAGCACTTTGGCGGCAGCTCTACCGCCCCGCTTCATTCTTTGGTGGCAATTCGGCGGCGAGGCCTTCGCTCCGAGAGAGACTGAGGGACCCGCCACCGAAGACCCGGACGTGCCGCCCCTTTCCATTGGCCGCCCCAAGCACCTGCTTTCTTCGCTGGTGCCTGGAGCTGGCCCTGGTATTAAGTTTCTTTTAAACATCCAAACCAACTTTTTGTTTGTTTGTAATAGTGTCAGACACTATAAGTTTCTCACATTTCTTACAGGACTTTTTTTAATATAGGAAAGGGGTAAATGAGGGGTTCTAGGTATAGTGGATAGTACACTAAATAGTCTATATGTACCAAATTTTTCTATAAAGAGCTCTTCAAGTATTCAGTTTATGCAAAGGATGTAGTTTAACACAAGAGGGCAGTCATGTTATATATGAGACTGTAGCTACGCTTTCATTTTTTTGACCATGGGTTAATAGGCAACTCGATGACAAAATGAACCTAGTAGGACTGTATTTTTATAAGTACATTCTTCTTATACTTGTGTAAAATTCATTGATGTTGGATGTAGAGAGGAGCAAAATAAGCTGGGAAATGCTTGGTTGTTTCCATGCTAAAGGAGATTTATATACCTGACCTGAGGGCAAAATGGGTTCTTTAAGGAAAAAATTATTGAACCGATCACTGATATGTCAGGTAGTTCAGACTACAGTACGTTCCATACTTGTCACCCTCAAAAATCCCATTGAAATATCAATAGCACCTCATGGCAGGGAGATGACAGGAAATTTGCACATAAATCATCCTTGGTGCAGTTTTAATGCTAAAGACAAAAGATTTTAGTTGGAAAGCAAACTTGGTTTAAGGATTGTTGATTTTTGTGAAAGGCTTCTGAAGGGGTTGTGCAGGAGATCTCTCTCTATTTATTTTGGATGGGATGTATGATAGCACTGGGGAAAGCTCATTTCAGTTTCCTTCCTCAATGTTTGGCAGCACATCACATTATATCACTCGGGTGTTTTTTCGGCACCCCTCAACAACATAAATTTTGCTGACATAAGTGGTAGTGTAGACATGGCCTTAGTGTGGCTTAGGATGCTCTCAGATAAGGAGTATCTGTAGGGGAGGGATCAAAAGCTAATGTTTCCAGCCCCCAGTACAGATCATGGGGTGGGCACTGGGGATGGAGGGTTACTTGTTCTTCCTTAATAGTTGATGCATGCAATTTATCTCTCATGCACTTGCATAGCTTTGTACACCTTGACTTTCAAATGTTCCGTGGGGAATGGATTTTACCTTATTGCAGTTTATATAGGGTCTTGTTTTCAGTGCAAGGGTTATCTTGAGTCACTCCACTCGAGCAAGCTTCTCTCCAGTGAGAGCAACTACACTGCCTAAGAGTACTATCCCTACAGTGATTACCTTAGCAGCACAGTTTGATTGGATTAGCAGTTGATGAGTTGTGCTAACTCAAGCTGTCGCTGAGTCTCCGCTGCATGTCACTCAAACTTGGTCTACACTACGTACTTACTGTGGTATAACCATGTCACTCAGGGGTGTGAAAAATCCATACCCCAAGCAATGTAGCGATACTGATCTTAACCCCCCCATGTAAACATCACTATGTTGGCGGGTGAGCTTCTCCCGTCGACATAGCTATAGCCTCTAGTGGAGGTGGAGGTGGATGGGAGAACTCTCTCCCATCGGCATAGAGCGGCTTCACCAGATGCGCAACAGTGGCGCAGCTGCACTGATGTAAACTTGTAGTGTAGACCTGCCCTCAATGTCAGCAGTACTCAAGCTTCAAAGCCCTTCTCCCCCACTTCCTCCACCCATCTGGCCAGCTAGCTCTGAGTTTAAAGCATTATAGGAGTCAGGTGAGGGGCAACACTTGAAATGTACCTCAAGTTAACACTTCAGTAAGGACACGTTCATAATTTAAGGGCAATTGGCATGTTAGCTGGTTTCCCCAGTCTGCTTATGGTTCCTGCAACTGTCTGGGCAAGGCGAGGACATTTAGACAGAGTCACACCATTTAAAACATTGTTTAAAAGTGAAGGAGAAAAGAATCTTTATAAACTGGGGAGGGGGAAGACCTATCTGGAGATTTATTTTAATCCAGCCTAAACTGAAAACTAGTGTTAATTGTTTATTTTGGTCAAATGGATGACATTAAGTTGTACTGGGAAGTTTGAGCTCATTTCAGTTTCTTGTTAGGTGCCAAATCAACAAAATCCTTAAGCATGTGCCTAACTTTAAATATAGGAGTAGTCCCATTAAATTCAGTGGGGCTACTCACATGCTCACAGGTAGGCACATGCTCATGCACCTTGCTGAATCAGGGCCTTAGTGCTCTTCTATATGTACTAACAGACTTTTAGCAAAGAGATTAAGAAAATTAAAAAGAACAGAATCTTTATTATCCGTGGTTTGTGCGTCAGCTTTGTGCTGGAACTGGCAAATTAGTGTGTAATTCTAGAGGACAAGAGAAGGACTCTGGCAATTGTCTCTTCTGTTTCATTAGATGGTAGACTATGAAATTACACACTTTATCTTATGTTTACATATGATTATGGAAATGTCTTTTTATCTTGTAGGTTTTTTTTTCTTGGATAAAAGTTGTCAGGGATGTAATTCAAAGTGCCAGAATGTGTGTTTTCGGAAGTTTGGTTTTAATGTTGGGCATGTGCTCATTTATAATCCTGATTGGACAATGCATTTGTTCTCTTCGACAGATGAATAAGGGGAAAAGACATTTTGAAAAATGTGTTCCTGTCCTCTCTCTTTCTGTGCATCTTTCACTGCATCTGTGCCAAGAAGAATCCCTCAGGGTGTCATGGGTTGTATTTTCAGGAAGAAAGAATACCTGACTAGACTAGCATTTACTAGTATTACCCTTCATGATCACTGTGTCATCAATTAGTCTATATGACTCAAAAGTGAATCTTGCCAGTCATTTTCAGACTTTGGATAATTAAACTCAAGAATTTCTTATGACAAATTTCTTCTGCCTTCGTTTAAAATAGTATAAAATAACTTCCTTTAATTGTATAACTATATTGTTGGCAAAAGAGAAGGGCAACTCTAACTCCTTAGACACTAGAAAAACATGAGTCCATCATGTTTGACAGGTTAAAACTGGTTTCCCACTACTTTCAATAACAGACACATTGCCACATATAATAATTAAAGCTTAATCCATGTAGTTGTAGGCTATTATAAGTAATTACAGCTATTGAAGCTTATGGATTTAGCATTTTGCTTTTCTTATCTTTTAAACATCTCCCTCCCCACCAAGCAAAAGCCTCAATGTTTTAGAACGGACTTTTTGAAGGCCTCGTAGTACAGCTTGGCTGTTAGTTATGTAAGCAGCTGTCTGCAGAAATTCATTAAATGTCTGATTGTGCATAGCCACGTCTGACCCTTGGTGTTCATGCTGAGCTTTCCCCCTGCAGGCTACCTTCTTGTCTCTAGCTGACATAATAGATGTTCATTACAGAGGTGCAGGCTTTACTGATCCTCATCCCAGTAAAGCATGAAGTCATCACTTGGAACTTTATATATAAAGGTTTACAGTTTTGTGTGGAAAGATTAAAAATACTGAGCCAGGTTTCACCTGGACTGGTCCAGCATTTTAGGGAAAGCTCATGTGGCATCTGCTCTGCTGCCTTCCATTTTTGCATCACAGAGGAGGACCTTCAAAGTGCCCAGGGATCTTTCAGTTTTCTCATATTTATCTCCTATAATGTAATGTCCGCACAATGTTTTGTTTTAAAGTTAACTTAAATCCCAAGAGATTTAATTTTTGAAAGAGTACAGTATAGCTGTACCGTAAGAGTCAAGTCCTGAAAGTGCTGAATGCCTCCTGGAAGAAGCAGAAGTCCCTAAAGTCAGTGGAAACTGAGGGTACTTAGTATCTCTAAGGGGTACTCAGTAGCTTGCAGGATTGGAACTTCAAACGTCACTTTCTTCTAGAGATCTCAACTGCCTATTTTCCACTTGTTCTATTTCAACCTCCTTTCTCTGCCACCTCCCTGGACAGTGGTAAGTTTTCAAATCATACACTTGTACAAAGTCATTGTTATATTTAACTCCACATTTTTACTTTATAAAAGGGGCATCACAGATCAGACATAGTCTAGTTATGCTAACCTGTTGATTAACATGGTTTATAGTCAAACATAAACAGGAATGTTAAATTCTGTGAGGAGCCCTTCAGTTCACTTTTTCCTCCCCTGTTTTTCATATTGAACCTTAAAAGGTGGTAGTGATGAACCCTATCAGTGCTATAGCCACAAGCTACAATACCAAAGGTTACAAGGCTGGATACAATGGCCAGAATATGTAGGCCTTAGGAGGCCCCTTCTCACTGACAGTTATCCATATGGCTGAACTAAATTGATGCTTATTAGCATCATTATGACTATATGTTTCAGTCATCATATCCCACATGGGTTCTACTGTCAACATGGGGCTTCCACTCTGTAGCTTCGTGTTCTGCTTTCCAAGTACATGTGCTGTAAATGCATAATTGATAATAGGATTGTTAGCTATTAAAACAAAATATAATAATAATATAGTACAACACAAGGTACAATAATCCTTGGCACTGACCAATTGAACAAAAAATTCCCCCACCCCCAATGCCACATCCTAAAAATTAGCTGACTCAGTAATGGAGAGAGGTCAAATAAAGAACACCTGAGTTTTGGAAGTAGCTTTCTCAATCCACATAGGCAAAAAGTGCTTAAGCATATGCTTAACTTTAAGTTTCTACAAAGTCCCAATAGTTGACTTCTGTGGGGCTTAAATTTTTGCTTGAAGTTAAGCATGTGCTTAAGAGCTTTGCTGATTCCTGGCCAGAGTGGGTATGTAAAAGAGCAGGGAGTAGAACACAGATCCTTTCATTCACTCATTTGGCCCATGCATGTTTATTATGGACCAGATTGAATAATCACAGTATTGTCAATCCCACATGTTGAAAAATCATAAGTCAGTCCCCCCAAAATCATGAGATTTAAAAAATAAATAAATATTGGGTTCTTTTTTTACCTTTTGGTTGATGAGATTTTAAGGTGCACTTGAGTCATGTTTTCAAGCATTTCTTTGCAACAATGAAGGCTAGAAACATATTTTGAGATGAAATCTGAGAATTCCATGTCATCACATGACTCCAGGAGCTGGGGCTTTTAGAAGAAGACCAAATAACATGAGACTCGTGATAAAATGATGAGAGCTGGCAACACTGTGGGCTGTATGCGCTTTGGTATCACCAGGGGACTGGCGATGGGACAGGAATCTCCCTGCCATCCACATTCTGTAGCTGCATCCATCTCTCTTGTTCTTTCGCCTCTGCAGGAGGAAATAGCCATTAGTCTCTCAGTTTCTCCCTGGCTGGTTTGACCAATTCATTGATCTGTCTAGACACAAAATAATTGCAGTACACTGGTGCACACTGGGGGATACTTTATACTGCCTGGCGACATTATACAGTATTGGGAAAGTAATCGTATACCGAAAGTACTTTCACTCAATAAATGATACCTACAGGAAGCTGACACTGGTAAGGTAAATACTATAGAACCACCCAGAAGATGAGGAAGTGATAACTGTATATTGTTATTTCTATACACAATATATATGCTGCCAGTATCACCTGGGGATTGGTGCACTTTGGGACTGATTAAGTACTGCTACACAGTCACTCCATAGAGGTTTTGTTAAAATGGCAGAATACCCCACTCCCCAAGTTTCTTAAAATACCTTTTTGAGTTTGTTTCTTGAACTTCATTCTTTTCCCTACTCTCTTTGTTTCTAAAAATGTGTATGTGCTTAAGACAGAATTTTCTCTTTAACTAATAGCACTATATCCACTTCAACTCCCGCTCCACTTGCACACTCCTTAAACAGCGGTTGTGGTCTCTCATATAAGATCGGTAGGTGTTTCCCAATTAGCTGCTACACCATTCACAAGGTTTTTCAGATGTAAAAACTGGAAAACAGCAACAAGACACATGATAACATTTTTAGGACTTTTAAGATAAGTGCATAAGAAAACCATATACACACGAATCTTGAAAATGGTAGGAGTAAAATCAGAAAACTTGCATGTGGGTGCCTACATATGTGTTTGTGTCCATACACACATCTACATAGTCATTAATCCAAGGGAACACTGTACTTTTTCCACATCATTACTCAGCTCTCCTTTTAAGCTGATTTGTGCTCCTTAATTGCTGTTGTACTTTTAGCAGTTCAGACACCCTTTGTGTAAGGAAACCTGATTCAGTTCTCTCTAATCTGTGGCTTCTTGTTTTAGAGTTAGTTGATATTATGAACAGCTTCTTGCCAGCAATCCATTCCTTCCTTTACAAGATTTTACGTCTCTGACAGATTTCTGCCCACACCCTTCTTTTCTTTTTATCTAAGCCACAGCAAATGGTTTATCCACGTCTTGCCTAATATCTTGCCTCTACACCCAGATCCCGTTATGTAAAGCGTAGATTAAATATAAAAAAGTCATATTGTCTTAACTCTTTTCATTTCTTAAATAATCCACTGATCGTTTATGCCTGCTGCTCACAACTTACACACACTTTTGTAGTTTCAGGTAAAAGAACTATCACTAAAGACTGAAACAAAAGTGTTTGTGAATTTGAGCTGAAGGTGTAGAGTGTACAGCTCACTTCCCGCCAAAACTCTAAGGTTTGCTCAGCATTCCATTGCTGTTCCATATATTTGTCATCAGAGTGCAGACACATGTTCAGTCTAGCAGCTCCTCTTTCAGCCAGTGTTTGAGCAGCGGTTAAAAGAAGATGCACTCATGTGGAAAATCCTGGCAGCAGGCACCCTGGATTGTATTACAGCAGCTGCCCTCAATGGGAAAACACTGATATTTACAGTGTGTGTTTTTTCCATGGAATTTTATTGTCTGTGTATATGTGCATAATAAGAATGTTCTGCTGGATGTGTATTCTACATTTTTATAAAATATTATATATAGCAATATATAAAATATAGTTATATATTACATTTAGTTCATGTGTAATTTTAGCATGAACATAAGGTGCTGGTTTAGAAACTGACTTTCACAATTATGGTAGATTCTTAGCAAATAAGAGAAAGCAGTATTTGAATTTCTATGTTTTAGCCTCCATGGTCTTAGATAGCTCCATGCATTTTGAAAAATCAGCTTGTGTGTGTGTGTGTGTGTGTGAGAGAGAGAGAGAGAGATGTGCTGTTTAGTTCAAGCTTTTATCTAGTGTTGCCAACTTTCTACTCGCACAAAACCGAACGCCCTGCCGCTTCTCTGCAGCCCCGCCCCTGCTCACTCCATACCCCCACCCCCAACCCCACCCCACCCCGTCGCTCGCTCTCGCCACCCTCACTCACTCGCTCATTTTCATCGGGCTGGCTCCAGGCAGCACTTACCACAAGCAGCTCCCAGAAGCAGCGGCATGTCCCCCCTCCAGCTCCTACAGAGGCAGCCAGGTGGCTCTGCGCTCTGCCCCATCCACAGACACCGCCCCCGCAGCTCCCATTGGTTGTTGTTCCCAGCCAATGGGAGCTGCAGAGCCGGCGCTTGGGGTGGGGGCAGTGTGCGGAGCCCCCTGCAGCTCCTATGTGTAGGAGCTGGCGAGGGGACATGCTGCTGCTTCCAGGAGCTGTGCGGAGCCAGGACTGATAGGGAGGCTGCCTTAGCCCTGAGCCCCCGCTGCGCCACCAACCGGAGATGCCAGAGTCCCTTTTCAACAAGGTAGTCCGGTCAAAAACCAGACAACTGGCAACCCTACTTTTACCATTCTTTGTTTTACTAACTATAAACATGGCAGCTAGTAAGATGTCCAGAATAGTGACTGTATTTATACAGAGCCCAGAACTTCTAAATGAGGTCCCTGGGTGTTACTTTTATATAAAATTGCCAGTGATTAATAATTATTAATAAAGTTTTGATGCAAAATGAAAAAACCTTCTTTTTATTTATCTCAGTTCTAGCACGCGTTGATGTAATATGATAGCACCTGTTTACAGCTCTAATTTTTAATGCACCCATCATGTTAGTATCTGGGCTATAATTACCTTAGCTGCATGATTATGAACTCCTGCCTCTGTCAAGTTATATTTCTATTAGTTATTGTAGGGGGAAAGATAGCATGGAGAAATAAAAAATGTCCCTAGCCATTTTATATTCTTCTTTACTGAAGGAAGGCCTATACAAACGGGTATGCCTTCCATTGTTCTCTAGGTACCTGATTCAACAAAGCACTTTAGTACACAAATAACTTTAAGCATGAACGTAGTCTCATCCCTATTCAGCAAGGCATTTAAGCACATATTTAATTCATAGCACATGTTTGACTCCCTTTGGCTTCAACAGCACTTAAGCATGTGTTTAAGTATTTTTCTAAATATTGATGAACTTAAGCATATGCTTAAGTGTTTTTCTGAGTTTAAGAGAAGCAATACTTGGGTTCATCCAACAGAGAGTTCCATTGTTGTGTGGTTCCTCCAGAGTTTAACCCTGGGCTCTACCAATCATAATGTTCCTGTTGATCATAGTATTCTTGGACGTGCAAAAAGAGAGGTGGTCCTTGAGGCAACCAGACCCTAGCTCATTGAGTGCTCTGGAAGAGAGTGGATGCAAAATTGGATGGGCATCACCAGTATGGTATGCTCTCCTTGATCTGTCCCACTGAAGAGATGACTTTTTTCATGTTGGGCCATCTGATGCTTTAGCATAGTCTTCGTGGCTAGGCATAGATGGACTGCACATGCGGTAATGTAGGCCTCCTGTGATAATTGTATGCGCTGTAAATACTGTGCAACAAATTTGCATCTGAATATGTACCCACAGTCTTGGATGTGCAAGTTTTTGTGCCCCTTAGTACTTGAGATTTCCACAAACAGCATTTGCGCATGTAAATTGGATAACTATCCAATAGACATTCATAAAATTATGGCCTGAAGGTTACAGACTGCTGCAATGATTAATGAGCTGTGACTAAAGAAAACTAGGACAGACTACAAAACTTGTGAAAAAGACTGTGAAAATCAAGGTGGTGGAGGTTCTTTATTGTTTGTATTGCAGTAATGCCACAGAGCCCCAGTTGTAGACCAGGAGCCTATTGTGCAGGGCCGGCTCCAGGCACCAGCGCAGCAAGCAGGTGCTTGGGGCAGCCAACGGAAAGGGGTGGCATGTACGGCTCTTCGGCGGCGGGTCCCTCAGTCCCTCTCGGAGGGAAGGACCTGCCGCCAAATTGCCGCCAAAGAATGAAGCGGCGGCAGAAGTGCCGCCGATCGTGGCTTTTTTTTTTCCCTTGCCGCTTGGGATGGCAAAAACGCTGGAGCCAGCCCTGCTATTGTGCTAGGGTCTGTACAAACACATAAAGAGGTGGTCCATACCACAAAGCACTCACAATCCTTCCCTCTCCTTTTTGATTATGTGCTAAGAAAACTTCTTCAATTTGGCAGTTTTGTCAATTTAAATATAAAGTAACGCCCTTCCTACACTGCTGCTCAGAAATTTTATCAGACACATGTGCCAGCAAGAGGCTTTAACAGCTGCAAGAAAATCCAAAGCAGCATGAAAAGTGGAAGGATGAGCCTGCAGTTCAGACAACCCCAGTCTTTTTTCCTAAGGCAGCAAAAGGAGCTCTGATTTTTTTTTTTTAAGTACCTCACACAGATGGGCAGTCCTAGCTAGTTCCAGCCAATTCTTCTTTCTCTTTGATCTATATGCTGTCTGCTAGCATGAGATACTGAATTATCACTACATTCCTCAGGCTGTCTCACAAGTTTACAGATGCAAACCTTCAAATCAAACAGTTTATATTCGGCTGGTTTCTCTCTCCTCCTTCCTACTGTTGCAAACCAGCCAAAGCAAACAGAAAACAGCAGTGCACATTATTTAATTAATTAAAATGACCCAATTTTAAAAAAACAACAAAAAAAATTCCAGGTATTCATCTACATTTAGTCTTTAGTAAAGGTCAGTGATGATGGCAAAGCCCCTTGGTGATATAAATAGAAAATTTCATTTCAGGCATTATGCTTATACATTTTCATCACTAACATTAACTGGTAATTGGTTGATGATTTGGTGTTATGATGTGTTTGTGTTTGCGCTTAGCTCTTACCTGTGCCATGAGCTTTTGCCTCAGCATTAACCCAGCAATAGTAATATTAACTGTGAAATCAGACCCTGAAGGATTTATGTACCAGAATTTGTACCTGATAACTTAAATCTGTAAAGAAGTTGCAACCTCCTAGCCTGCCTTACAAAGTGCAATTCTGACCCCGCTGTCAGATTGTAGTGCCTTTCTTTGGTTGGCCTTGAAAACAGGCCTACTATAAATAAAACCTTCAGTTTTGGAGTTTAGTAACAAAATAAGAGTCTTTTAAATTTCAGAGAGAGAAGTTGACTGGTACTTCCTTCCACTGTCTGGGATTCAAAGTTAATTAAAGCAATAACTGAGATTTTTTTTAAAATCCCGAAGTACTTATGTGCATAATTACAAATGACACTTCTAAATTTGCTTGCTAAACCTTCTAATCTTGAGTGTTATGTGAGTGTATAAAACTGCCTGAAAAACACTGTATAATTTAGTGATGGGAATCATGCCTGATACTCTGACCTTATTTATTATACAAGTATCTCTGAAACTCCTAGGGACAGTAATCCCAATGTTAAGCATTGATAGTAAATCAGTGATCTCATCCAAGGAATAAGATAATCGTCACTGCATGATAGTACAGAATCTTTCAGCGTAATAGACAAGTGTTGTGTCAAGCTGCTTTTTTCATGTAATTTAAAAAGTTTATTAAGCAGCCCATTGTTACTGATTCATTCTGAAAAGAAGCTTGAAAATAAAATACTTTTGTGGATCCAATTTTGTCCTTTCTCATTTGGCAAATATATTTTCTCCCTTTCTTCCCCCTCTCTCCCTCCCCCCATTTGTTTCTGTTCCATTAAACTAATTTAATTAAACAGATGCTCAGGAAAGCATGAGACTCACAGCACATGTTACAGGCACAGGCTGCATAAGCCTCCCACACATAGCTCCACTAATGGGCCTCAGTAGTAACCTGTGTATTCCAGTCCTTGACCTCTTCTGAACAGACAGAGTCAATTGTGCCAAACAGTGACAAACTATGCTGTGGTTTTGTGAAGATGACAAATGACAGCTGGAGACTAGACAAGACCAACGAAATTTATTTTCACTTGTAACATAATCCAGGTTTCTTTCCTAATGGAGGGCTGGGGGTGGTGGAGTGACAAAGGGGTGGAGGAGATGAAGCATGGCTGCTGTTTGTTTACCATCGTGTTTTGCAGTATTGTTGTAGCCTGGATATTACAGAGACAAGATGCGTGAGGTAATATCTTTTATTGGGTCAACTTCTGTCAGTGAAAGAGACAAGCTTTTGAGTAGGGATGTAAAATGTTAACCGATAAGCATCTGTCTTATCGTAAGGTATTCCGGTTAACATTTAATCTCTGGCTGCGGGATTCTGCTGCTGCCGTGCCCCAGGGATCCCAGCTGCCACCCCCAGGTCCCAGTCCCACCCTCCATGCCATGGGGACCCAGCTGGGAACCAGGACCCCAGGTGCGCGGGGCCGGCAGCCGGGATCCCTGTCGCGTGAGGCGGCAGTGGAGCCTAACATTTAAAGGTTTCACCGGTAAAATTTTAATACTTTAAATGTTTACTTTTTTTAAAAAAGCTATTTACATCCCTACTTTCGAACTTATTCTGAACAGACAGAAGTTGGTCCAATAAAGATATTACCTCACCCACCTTGTCTTTCTAATTTTGTTTACCAGGACTTTTGTCAAAAGCATCACCAATTTCAGTAAGAATATACACCGCTCTGGAAATGATCTTGCTGCTGCAGCAGAGGTATATTTTAGTGTACCGCACAAAAATGGCAGTTACCATATTTTGGTGGTGGTTTAATTTCCCACTCTTTAGTATTTAGCTAAATCATTTACAACATTTCCTTAAATGGGGGCTAAAGGGAGGTGAGTAAATCCTGTCCTCCCAAAGTCCATGGGAGTTTTGCCATTGACTTCAGGGGGAAATCAGTGTTTGATCCCACTACGATGTTTCATTTCTAGGCTTTGTCCTAGACTACGAACTCTCTGGGACAAGGATTGTCTTTATGTTGTTTGTTTGTACAACACCTAGTACAAATGGAACCTAATCCCTGTTTCGGTTTTCAGGCTCTGTTTCATATGTAATGACTATGACAAAACAGAAACTGAACTTGTATTGGTATGGCATAGTGAACTGACCCAAGAGCAACATAAAACATTTTAGGACTGTAACTTGAACTCAAATCCTATTACTAGGACTCTAATTTACAAACCTCTGTTATGAAATTGAACACACCAGTCAGTCCAGCAGCTGTTGTGAAATAATGAATGGTGCTGCTAGAAGAAGGCAGTTGTGATTAGCTGGGAAGACGGGCA